TTTAATAAAAAAAATCTTGATTTATAAACTAAAAGAATTATCATTGTTGCTGTTTTTTTTTCATTAAAGAAAAAAGTCGAAGAAGACAAAAAAATCAACTTTAATAATTTAAATAATAATACAAATTTTTTTAAGTATTCTTTGCTGTGAGAAAAAGTATTCACAAATATTTATGATGACCTTCTCATTATTTCCTAAATTTTAAGTTTTCTGTCATTTGAGTTGCATAAAAACCACAAAGGAAGACCAATTGTGTTTAAAATATTTAGTTCAATTTTCCTTCCCACGATATAAAGAAATATCTTTAATTAATCCACCAATTTAACATGCGCAATAATTAATCTTTCTGGGAGCAAAATAAAACAAATTTATTTATCTGCAAGTAGGTTTTCAATGAAAATAGCAATTTCATTTAATCCTGCACGCGAAAAAAGGCTGATCTCATCGGTGGCGTCGAAGAAAAAGGCAAAGCATTATTATTTTCGTGATGCTATCAAATGCAGCTAATGGATTCGCCCCGGGGCCTTGGAGCGGATTTGAAAAATTTTCCGCTTGATTAATTAAATATTCCCTCAAGTGCACGGCGCGGACGCATTTATTTCCTACACCTGTGCGATGCGATTCCATCTATCAAAAGAGTGCGTCGGGCAAACATTAATCCACGCGCTACGAGAGACTGGACCTTGCTTGTTTCCGACCCGGCCCAAATCACACACTGACAAACGCACGCCTTGCAATCATATTTTATCTCTCGACGCGTCACACCTCTGCATTTATGGTAATAAATTGCGCTAGATTTCAGACGCGCCGTGTAATTAATTAAAGAATAAATTTGTGAAATTCCGTATGCGTCACATTCGGGATTCATCATTTAACAGAGCGGTCAGTCTGATAAAAAAGGCCATTTATTTTTTTTTTTTACACGGGGAAGAGATTTGATCGATGATGATTGAGATACAGATTAAGTCGCGCCGATAAAGATTTATTATTCGAGAAAACGCGGCCCGCGTGAATAATTTGATTTTTCTCACACCCGGTCGCGAAAGAGCCAGAAATAAAAATCGCGACCGTGCCCTTGGTTAATTCCGACCGAGGCGTTCTGGTCAAAAGGACAAACCGCAAAATAAACGTCAAGGAAAGCCGCCAAGTTTATCGGGTTACCAAATTGGCTCCCACAAAAACAACGTCTTCATAATCAGTTCCTTGTTAGCCGCGACTAGATTAATTAACAACAACAATATTGAATTCTCCTTTGTGCCCAAATATGTAATTTTTGAGGTGAAAAAACTAAAAACTAAAAACAAGTCGATAATTGTATTATTAATATTACCACAATTAACTAAAAACTTAACATTAAATTTTGAAATAATAATGCTGTGGCAAAGAACTGGAAATTAAAATTTGAAGTTTGAATCTAAAAATATTAGAAAAAGAGGCAGTTGAAAAACAAATGATAGTTTCCAGTCATTTCTAGAGCCCTACTTTTTGCAATTTACTGATATAAACCTGCTTTTGAAGACCAGGAAAATAAAGAATATCAGTGGAGGTTTAAAACGGAAAGAAGAACAAAATTAACCCACGACAAATATAGTGAATTTTATATTTCAAAAACTGTATTAATGATATCCAGGATTGTAAGGAAAAAATATCAGAAAAGACCATAATTTGAAAGGAACGAGCTTTCAAAAATAGCGAATTTTATTAGGAAATTCCGAAATCAAGGTCTTTCATTCATACCAAGGGATCTCAGTGAATACAAAGGAAGGAAGACTAAAAGTTGGCCAAAATTAAAAATTGACTCGCGACAAATGAACTTTGAAGCGACAATAAACCTATTTGTTGCAACAAATAAATAGCAAATACCATATTTTAAGTTGTCTTAGATAAGACAACTGTCTTTTTCACAAATTATCGTTTAAGAAGGACCATTTTAACCTGTGTTTTTATTTAAATTGTAAGATTTTTGCTGGTACGAATTATTAAATAATATTTTTGTATTCGTTGTAAAATTTGTGTTAACCTGCGAAATTTATTATTCTATAATTCAGTGCTCGGCGAAGGAGAGGCTCACAAAGCACAAATCAATTTCAATCTTGCACATTATCGATTTCCTTTTTCATTCCGACGAGACGGTTTAATTATTGGTTTTGATTCTTGGAGCGCGGAGAACGCCTTATGTGTGTGTGTGTGTGTTTGAGTGAGGCTCAAATACACACACTCGCAGGCGAATTCAATATTTGCGGTCGGAATCAGCAAAGCTCGTTCGCCAATATTGTTGCGTCGAGCCGCGGCGGCACCGCAGAAATGCTCTCGTTAATACGCCGAAGAACACGGAAAGGATTTTAGAGGTGCAAATAATATTATTACTCGCGCGCGCCGCCTGCAAGTGAGCATGTATTGTTGTTCCTGGGCGTGTCTCTTTCTCTTCTGAACCATAAATAATAATCCCATCGCAGGATTAATATTTCATGCAGGGTTATATATTTGGTTTCCGCCGCCGCCGCCGCAATGCCGACTTGAATTATTTTGTTCCTTTTCAAATGTAATTGGAGCGGAAATATGTGCACGTTGCACCGCACAGGATTAATTAAACTTGTTAACACCCCACATAATGAGCACCGCGGAGAGTAATAATGTGTAATCAGATGTATTGTTTTAGAATTTGCTCGACTTGGAAACTTTTAATGATTAACTTGTGAAACATAATATTTAGAATTTAAAAAAAAGTAAAAGTAAAAGTAAAAAGAGTTAAAATAATATAACATATTCTTCAAAATAATATAATAATTTTGAAATTGAACTAGTACTTTTCAATAAATCCTTCTTCTCCTTGACTGAATAATTTTTACTCATTGAAATAAAAAATCGGATGCATTTGAGAAGGTGAAAATAGACCCAGCAACGATGTGGGGCGAGCGGTGCCAATTCTCGTCTGAATCAATACAGAAATAATATTCCGAGCCGTCGCATATTTCAATTTTGGAGCTGCTCATTTCCTGGCTGCGTCATATCTGCTGGTAATAAAGTGGCATAAGGTGTAGCAACGATAAGGAGCGCGCACCACCCTTGGCTGCCTGATTACTTGTTAATCTCGTTATTGCGATGACGCAAAGGCGTGTCCTCCGCTTTCGTCCCACGCATTCCTCCGATAAATAGAGCCTCCGTCGCCACGCAGTCTGCGCCGCGCCTTGTGGAAAAATCTGTCGCAGCAGGTGCGCGGAATTAAAAAATAATTTCTTCTTGTGGCTGCTGCGATTATTGGAGCGCGAAGCAATCTGCGCCTTGCTCAATCGCTGCACCGATGTATACAAATAAAAGAAAGGAAAAGGTGATTTTCCGCCAGCATGCAGCGCAATCTTTATACAACAAATTTTTACTGCTGGTGTCTGCGCAATTTTTCCGCAGTCCATCTCTGCAATTTATTTTGATGGGAGGAATCGCAGCCAATTTCTTTTCACTTCAAAGAAAACTGGTAAATCGGAGTAATTTCAAATTCGTAATGAGACATGAATTCAATCAATTTGGAAAAATTATTTTTATTTTCTTTGTAATTTTTTTTTAATAAATATTGAAATTTTCTTGAACGATTCAGTTAATGGAATTTTATTTAAATTCAATTTATTTATATTTATGTTCTTGAAAATAGCTTCTTTAATTCTTACATCATGATTAAAAAGACAAAAAGACACATTTCTTGTTAATTAAAAGTTTTTCAGCTATAATAATTCTGCTGATTTTTTCAAAAAATGGAATTAATGAATTCAGCTGATAGTAACGAATCATCTCGAATCTTCTTAGGTTTTGCTAGAAATAATTTTTATTTATTTTTTACGAACGCGCATTCAGAGAGATTCAAAAACAAGTTTATCGTGCGATCCGCAGGAGGAATGATAAAATATATAAAAACACCAGCAGGTTAACCTTGATGCGTGTAAGCCTCTGAGCAGCTTTCGGTGTGCGGCGAAAAGCTCTAAAAATTATTTTATTATTATATATAGCGTTCACCCACCATTGTCGGCTGGAATTTTAATGTCCCAGCACGAAATACCGTGCAAAACAAAAACTGGAAGTCCTCATCGCAGATAAATTCGATCAGCAAAGATTTTCATCAAGTTTTTTTCGTCGCATTCGGATAATTCCAAGGCTGAGTGCATTGATTGTGTTTATTTTTTATTTGGTAATTTATCGCCAGACGGAAGAAGTTTTCAACACAACTTTTTTTCGTTCAGAGATAAATTCTCAATTTGGAGACGTTTTCCGCCACCGCGGAGCAGAATAATTGCGAGAAATTGGCCGCGCGGATTTGCTGCTAACAACGCCGCACTTGGTCTTGCGATTTCCATCCAATAAAGCAAAGGTGCCTTGCAACTGTCGCACCAGCTCACCCATTTAGATTCTCGAGTGGAAACTTGCCCGGACAAGATGTAAAGCCGAGCTTGAAAATAGATATGGAGACTACAATTGAGGTCAGTTAATATTAAGGCAATAATCGGAAGCGGCCAAAAGTTGGAGAAAACCATTCAAAGAGATAATTATGATTAAAAGTAATTTTTGAATGAGGCCGATCTTTTCAATATTTTATCTGCATTTTGGACTCTGTTGTAATTTTATTATGGTAGAATTATTTTGCCAAATTTACTTTTCAACTATATTACTTTAATTTCGTTTCCTATTTGACGCAAATTTCAAGAATTCTGCCAATTATTTTAAAATTTCTTAAAATTGCAAGAAAGTAATCTAATTAAGTTTTATAGATCCTAATAACGCCATATTTTTGTTAAGAAAAATTATTTTCTTTGTAATTTAGTGAGATTTTACCATAAATGAAATAATTTTTATTATGTTTGTCAGAGAGGAGCAAGTGTTTTTTTTTTAGTTCTAAAACTATAATTGCTTTTATGCATTTTAAAATTTTGCAATACTGCAACTATTTTCAAGTTTGACAATTTATTTTATAATGAAAAGGTATTGACAAAAAAATGATAGTTTTTGTTCACCGCACTATTTTATTTCTGCGAGAGAAAAAACATTAAATTATAATGTGAAAAAGAATTCCCAAATAATTTTTGTTTTAGAAAAAGCACAAGTCGTCATCAACATATTTAGTTAAGCTGGCACGTTGGCATTGGCTTCTAGAATTTTGCGCAAACAAACGCCTAAAAGGTAGTGTCTCACGGCTAAACCTTGAGGTCCAAAAGAAGTAGGCAGTTCATGGGTGACCGAGTCCAAACAAACGGCAAGAAGGTATTGAAGTAGACCCTGTTGCGGCAGCGGGGATCCAGGAGGGAGAGAATGAGGAGCCGAGTCGAATTGTTGCAATTGTTGGGTCGGGAACCTGTTGGGAGGATTTGGTGGATATTGTGGAGGCTGAGGCAGTTGCTGGATGAAGGTTTGAACGATCCACGAGGACGGATTGGAAATGGGGCCTGGAAGTTCAGGATTCGCTTGTCCCTGTCCCGGCGCCGCATCATTCATCAATGCAAGCCACGGTGAAGATTGACTGGCGGACACAGTTTCTTTTTAGTAAACAAGAAAAATTTAGAAGGAGAGAAAAACTCAAAATAGGTTTTGCTCCGGCAGGTGAATCTCAATTTTAGCATAATATAAGCAGTACTCCATATCTTTTAACATCTTGCGTGGAGAAACATTTTTTAAATAAATTAAAAGGGATAATTAATTTAATATTTTTAGTATTACCTTGAAAAAATGAAATTCCATAGTCTGCCTGGTGGTGGTGATGGATCATAAAATATATTTGGATAGCCTGAATTTCGTCTCACGGCTGGAAAAATTGAAATATATCGATTAATTAAGGAAGTCCAAAACGGAAATGCAGAAGCCAAAAAATTAAAGAATCTGAAAGATCTGATATTTTTTTTTACCTATTTCAAAGTAAACAAAATTTCACGCCTGACATCACAATCAGGATAGACGAATTAGAACTCTTAATTTTTGACTGATTCTCGCTGAGTCTCAGTTTTCTATGCCAAGAGCAATTGAACGTCAGAGGACAATCAAAATCAAAATAAGTGCACAAAAAGAACATGATAGTCGTAGTGCTTTTAAAGTTTGAAAAAAAAATAACAATAATAAAATTAAGAATGAAATTGGAAATTTAAAATGCGCGAAACAAAAATGATTGAAATTAACAAAAATTAATAAGTTGAAAAAATTAAAATATTAACTTCTCTGCTTGCCGTCAGTTTCTTCGAAATCAACGGCTGCGGCTGCAGCCACGAGCACAACGAACAACACCAACTTGAGCATGTCGATCAATGATTGTGAATCCTCCGCGCGTCCACCATTATTTATAAGGCCAAGATCAGGTGGACACAAGGTCGTTTCGCTCGTCTATTGGCGAATTTTGATAAATCAGCCCTTTTAATTTGTACACCTTTCGCCACTTTAAAGGAAATGGCCTCATCAATTGTAACATCTTTTTGCTAGAAAAGAAGAGTGCCTCATTTTTAATTCCTCGATTTGGGCGTCTCCCTCTTTTGTTGCTATGAATAACTCTCTTTTTATAAAGTTTCGGTGTACTTAGATCTGTGAGCAAAAGTAAATTTTAGCAGGAAAGTACTAAAAAAGAGGAAATGTTTGCCCAGTGATATCTGAGTTTAGCCAACTTGATGAACATTAATTGCTAACCCCTATTTACGTAAAATAACGACACAGTATCACCTATTTTGAGATATTTCTGCTTTCGTCACATATATTTAAGTTTGTACCTCTAATATTCACTTAAAAAGTTGGTATGAATTTAAAAAATCTTTGGATTAAAACAGCCCACTTTTAAAATTGATAAAATATAACCACCAATTTGCTTCCCTATTTCAGCTCAAAATACATCCTAAATAACTATTTCCCGCCGCAAATCTCCCATTTTTTCTACTGCAAATCAACAAATTAAAGAGAGACTAACCAATTATATTAAACATTTGCTTAAAAGTGTAATTTAAGAACAAAAAGGAATGTTTCGTTAAAATGTAATAGCTACTTTTTGGTTGCTGACAATGATTTGAATACTCAAGTTGCATTTTTAATAGATTGATAATTTCAGGAATGAAACTAATTCAAAATGAATATAAAATTGAAGCAAAAGCGGATAATTTATTTTCTCTTAGGGACCCAAAATACACGAAAGATTATAAAACGACGAGTGCTAATAAAAGGGATGGATTAAAAATGGGGCACTCTTCTTTTCTAGCAAAAAGATGTTATAATTAATGAGGCCATTTCCTTTAAAGTGGCAAAAGATGTACAAATTAATAGGGCTGATTTATCAAAATTCGCCAATAGACGAGCAAACGACCTTGTGTCCACCTGATCTTTGCCTTATAAATAGTGGTGGACGCGCGGAGGATTCACAATCATTGATCGACATGCTCAAGTTGGTGCTGTTCGTGGTGCTCGTGGCTGCAGCCGCAGCCGACGAATTCGAAGAAACCGGCGGCAAACAGACAAGTCAGTATTCTTTCAACTTATTAATTTTTCGTGAAATTCGCTAATTTCAACCATTTTTCTCTCGGAAATTTTCAAGTCCAATCTCGGTCTTTTAATTTGTTTATTTTATATATTGTGAAAGCAGTCAAAATTGCATAAACTGCGCCCTTTTTAAAATAAGAAAATAGAATAATTCAAACTCACAATTAGAGAGGAAGCTTAGGTCTAATTCTGTGAGGCTGAAATACTGCTTTATTTTATAAAATTTCTAACTCTGCTTTCTGAATCCGATTTTAATTGATAAAATCTATGATTTTTTCCAGCCGTCGTGAGACAGATTCCTAGTGAACCCTCCATCCCGAAACCTCCGATGTATCCAGGTTCTGCTCAAGGGACCCAGCAGGTTTTCAGACCCTACGGTGCAGGGTACAATTCAATTTCATCATTCCTCTCACGGTAATGCTACAAATAATATTTATCCCTCATCAACAAAAAACATGTTGCCTTTTTATGCAATTTTTTTTTTAAATTATGGATTGAGCGATTAAATGTTTGTTTGGATCAAAAATTGAGCAAGGGAAAAGAAAATACCAGTAAACGTACCTCTTTGTTAAAGACTGATGCAAATTTATTAACCTTTTCTATGTTCAAATTAAGGTTCTACTTTTGGAATTATCTTTAATTCATATATTTGAGCAGATGACAATTACAAAATAATCTATTTATTTCAACTCTTTTAAACTTATTCAAACATAAAATCAACTCTGTGCTGCAGGCCCAACATTCAGCCAGCAGTACCTGCTCCTTCACGGTGGCCTGCGGGAGTTTTGGAACAAAAATTTCCTGACCAAAACGACGTTTCGGATATTTTGGGTACCCTTGCAAGCATTCCTTTTGGATTCCGTCTTCCAGAATATCACACCGAGAGCAGTTATTACAAACCTAGGCCTCAATATCCGTTCCATCAATTCGACTCGGCACCTCAACAGTCTTATTGTCCTCCTGCAGCTCCAGTGGGGTTATCCTTGAAGCAGCAACAGGATTTGCTCAATCTTCTCACTTATTTGTTAAGTAATCAAAACTCTAAACTCCCATTTTAACATAAAAAATATCTCTTGCTGACGACTTGTGCTTATTCTAACGGCTAAAATGTTTTAGTTTCATTAATAATGGTACAAACAATATTTCGCATTTGGCTTTTTCAAGAATGTAATTTGTGTTTCCCTAAACATGTTTGTTTCAAGAAATAAAATTGTGCAGTGAACAAAAAAAAAAAATTATTGGATTTTCTCTCCGTATACCCTTATCATTGAAAAATTAATCTTAAAAAACTTGGAAACCTGAACGTTGCTCTTTGTCACCTGAATTGCCCCAATTAGAATTTTTGATAGTTAATGAAATTACTTGGAATTCAACCAATATTTATAAAATATAACTTCAAAATTTAATTTAATTTTCTAAATAAAACTTTTCAAGAAAAACGTAGAAAATTCTTTTGGTTTACCAAATATTTTTCTTTATTATTTTGTATACAGATGGCAAACAATGATTCTTTTTTATTCAAAAACCTTTTAAAATTTGGTAATTTGATTTTGACTCAAATTTTCATTAAATTTAGCCGTCAAGAAGAGAAATGGTTGTTTGAAATTCCCTATTCCACCTTTACACATAATTTAGTTTCTTCAAGCCAAAGGAAAACAGAGACGCGTGTTTGCATATATAATATTCAAACAGGTGCTGCTGTGTGTGTGTGTCTATTTCTGGGGGCGAAAATCAATGTGTGCGCCGCTAATGAGTAAACTTGGCGGAAACTTTCAGATCAAATATGTCTGTCAAAGTGGCAGCTCGCGGAAAACCCTTCAATACCGACAGTCAGACGCAGAAATGCGCCGAAATCGGCGGCCGGGCAGTAACACAGATGCTGCGCCGCACGACAGCGTAAACACACACAGATTTATCCTCGAGGCGTAATTAATTAGCTGAGCCTGCAAAGTCAACTTGCGCCGAATGAAATCGATCTTACAAGGTGGTGAGAGACGTAGCTGTGCCGCCGGATACAAATTAATTTTTGCCCACCCACTAAGTATACAAGTTCGATCCAAGGTGAAGTAAGCGCCGCGGATTAAATACATGCTCGGATTCCAGAACCAACCGCGTCTGTCTCTCTTTAAAAGTGGAGCGGATTAGTCTGAGCATTTAAAAGTGTAATTAGTTGAGCTCGATCGCGAAACTTCCTTTGTGGAATTAAGTCTTTGTGTGCACTTAATTGTATCGGTAACTTTGCAAATTAAAAGTTCTTCAGCTTAAAAGGACAAACTTTCAAGTGGAAATTTATTTATGCTACTTTCCAAAGATGCATTGAAATAAGTTAATGTTGCAGAAATGCAGCTGATCAATCGCAATTCAAAAATATAAAGTGCGGAAAAGTCTGAAATTTATTGAATAATTAATTAAATAATTTTATATTAAGAAGAACTTTTGCAAAATAACGGCCTGATTAATTTAAATTGTAATTTTTCTCTATGTAATCATTGCTTTGAAGTCATTACCAGAACTGAATTTTTTGAATTTAAAATTGTTTCTTACGGAAGTTTTCTAAAAGAATTATTTTCCAAAATTTTTCCTCACCAAAATTTATAAAAATTACACCAAATGACCCCAATTAAGATGGAAAAATAAAATCAATAAGTCAAGTCGACATAAAAAGTTCACTTTGCTTTTGAGGGAAAAAAGGTTGAGAAGTTTTGATTTCAGTGTAAATATCAGAGGCTTATTGATTTATCATTTTTAAAATATTAGCTGCAAATCTTATTATTGAAATTTTCTATCAACACTTTAAAATTACTCTGAACAGAATTGTATCTAAAACCGGGATTTGATTTTGAGGCCGTTCCAGAATTCTCGCCTACATGATGAGGTTTCATGTAATCTTAGTCTCATTAGCGCGCGGCATGAAAGGGTTATCAACCCTAGTTCCTTCTTCCTACATCTCTGCTGATATTATTCAGGACGATCTGAATGGAAATCCATCTCCTCTGTGTGCGAGTCAGGATGTTGCAAAGGCATATCACCAGGGACCGCGCAGCAGCATTAGACACATCGCCTTGGGCGCAAACACTGATGCATTGAGCGTCATGCGCCGATATTTATGCCGTGTGTACATTGAGCCGCCTTGTAAGCGCTCCATCAACGTCTTCCGTGTATGCATTATTTGTGTGCACAATGTTGCCGGCAGAAACACGTACACACCGTGCGCGCGTTTCTCTCCTTTTCACAAACACACTGAAAGGTGATTAATCAAATTTTCAGTCACAGATTCAAAAAGTCAGATGAAATCCTATGAATTATTGAAGCTGTAGTTGAAATTGTTCAAAAGTTACGTGTTTTTAACTAAAATTCTTGATCATCTGAATTTGTTTTTGTTTTATAACCTAAAACCTATTTCAACATATTTAAAATGCAAGAAAAATTCCAAAATATACTTATTTAATTTGCACTTTAATTTTATTACATACTTCTACTTATTCTCATTTTTCGTCATTTTAACTGTCCTACTCTTCTTAAATGATCAAATTAGGTGGGTCCGAATTTGAGAGAATCGATTCTTGCAACAATTCTTGAAAAGTGCAATTCTCGACAAACGATTCTCGAAAGTTTATTCTCGCGCAAGGATTCTCCAAGAACGATTCTGTGGTGGTTTTTCAATGGCAGAAACATTCCTCGAGATCCATGCGCGAGAATCGCTTCTCGAGAATCGCTGCAAGAATCAATTCTCTCATATTCGGGGCCACCCAATTATGTTATTACAAAAATAATGAAACTGCAGATATAATTAGAAATTAATTACTTTTCAACAAATTAGTGCCTCTCAGCAAGAAACCGTTCGCAATGCAACTTTCTAAGCACATGTGCTAACGAGGCGAGATACATTAATTTCAACTTGTATTCGCGCGCACCGGCGACATAAAAGCAACCGCACAATAATTACATTTTTATACAAAGGGCTTATGCGAGTAATCGATATTCACAATCGACAGCGGCAATAAAAGCGCACCAGATCAATCTGTGGAAGCGAGAAAATGAGAGTTTGCGCACATAAAATATCGCGAGTGCATTTTAATTGGCAATTAACAGCATTTAATGAGACATCCAATCCGAGTCATCCGCCGAGGGGAAAATGCACTCGCTCGTTGCAAAAGAAGGGAAAAATAATTATATCGCCGGAGCTGTCAATTCCGTAGAAAGGAAAAAATGCTGCACCTTGAAACAAAAACACCGCGGCTTGTGTTGCTGGAGAGACTGGCAGGTGACAAACAAGGCAAATAGCAATTCCGATGCGAGTTAAAAATGCATATATAATTATCGCTGCGTTTGTGTTGTTCTCGCTCTCCGTCCTAGCTGGATCAGCTTTTATCTGCGGAATATTATTATTGCCTTATAAGAGAGAAAGCACCAGTTATGTCTTTTAATTTACAACTCACTGATTGTTGTCTGTCGTGCGCGCGGCACTTGAGGCTGATCTTGCGAAACGTGTAATTTTTCATTTATCAGAGAGGAGCTTACACGCTTTTCAACTTGCTGCCACGTTGAGTCATTGCGCAGCTTTTACTCCACCTTTCAAATTATTCAAAGAAACATACTCTCGTGATTCACATGATTGATGTGTTGAGAACAAACTCATAAATTAATCAGAAACGCCATTGTAATTGAATCCCATACCAAGGCCAAACGCATGAGAGAAATATAGTGATATATATTTTTCCACATTATTTGGTACTTTTATTATCTTTCAAAAGCAGTCAAATAATAATTTCTAATTCAAATGCAGTTTTTAATTCCGCCTGTTTAATAAAAAGTTTAAATTTAGTTAACATTTCAGAATTTATAGCGTTTTCTTCTCCCCAACACTTTTTTTTCATTCTTCCCTAAATTTATAAGTAAAATGAGCAATTAATTTTCCATGGTTCAGCTTTCCGATTCGAATACAAACATTTCTCTGCTGGATGGATTTGTGGAAATGAAAAGTCACGAAAAATATATGAATTAAAGCATGAAAATTTGGTGGAAGAAAACATTAAAATTATTTAAGCTTTGAATTGAACGACGTAAGAGAAAAATATGCTAAAATCCTTTGTTTTTTGGTAAACCATGAGACTCGTTCCGCGTGCTCGCGTTTTGGCATAATGGAATAAATCATCTCTCTTATATTTCTGTCTGTTCGCCCTGGTGAATAATTAAACCGTTGTGCACAGCGGGGGCCACTTCCGCCGCCGCCGCAATCATAATGCGGAGAAAGGAAAAGTAGATTAATATACGAGGCTGCCGTGCGAGACATAGATTTGTGTGCGCGCCATTTGGATGGAATTTCAGGCTATATGACCTAATCAATCTGGTTGATTATTCCAAAATTTAATTTAAATAAGTTGAATTATTTGAATTTAGAAAGAAAAAAACACTATAAAACGTAAAATGCATTACTCACCAACAGAAAAAGGCATCGATACAGAATAAAACACTTCTTGAGGCAGCACAAAAACGCAGTAACACGAGCACCAAAAGAAATGAAGCCAAAAGCAGCTGTAAGAAAAGAAACACACCCACTAACAGCCATAATTAACCATATATGTGGATACCAACGGAAAGAATTGGGAATAATTTACTAATAACAAGAAAAACGCAAAAAAAGCACCAATACACAATTGAAACACATTTTGAGGGAGCACGAAACAAAAAAACACTGTAACTTGACAATACAAGAAGTTTATGGAAGAAGACAATCAGCTGTAGGAAAAACGCCCACTAACAGCCATAGTGATAAGAAAAACCGCCTAAATAAACCGGTAACCTGGAATATACTAAATACATACCGGTTTTTTATTAACATTAGATGGAAATTTGATCTGAATGATTATTTTTTGTGCTTCTGCAATTGCAGCACCCTTTGCCAGGCACCAACGGATCGCACCAGGAGACTCTGTCAGGTCATTATTCATTGTCTGCCCCCGAGCTCTGTTATTTAGATCCTTCTTTTCCAAGCACAACAGCAGCCCCGACGGCAATGTTGCAGCATTATTATTTTTTATTATTGGATCGAGGATGCTGTGAGGTTGCCGACGACATGTTCTGACGGACAGACACTTTTACAATATATTCAACACACGCCATTCATGCGCGGACTTGTCGTCCTTTATGCGACTCTCCCATTCAAAACCCTTTTACTAGCTTTGAGAGTTAATTAACGTGCATGTAAATGGCGTAC